AGTTGCCGGCGCAAGGTTGAAAAGGAGTGGCAAGCTGAAAGTGAAAGTTCTGAGGCCCTGTCCTCTTTAGCGCGCCGCTTTCATGCTCAACCTTTTCCTTTGACTTAGCGGTGTTTCGGGGGTGCTGGTGTCGGTGTAGGTGTAGTTGTATGCCGTCACCCCCTCATCCACCCTTGTCCTGCCCAGGGTTTTGGTTCAGGGCTTAGGCTTTAGGGTAAAGGTTTACAGTTTGGGGTTTAGATTTTGGGTTTAGGTCTAGATGTGGTTTCGGGTTCCGCTTTTGAGGTCCAGGTTTAAGGTTTAAGCTCAGTTGCGTGCCCTCCGCAGGCCAGCTAGTGCGTGTGAGAAGGAGCAACATTCAGGTCGCTTTGCCGTTGATTGCTCTTGGTTAATATATATATATATATATGTGTGTGTGTGTGTACCCTTTTTGGGTTGTGAAGGCGAAACTAACGGAACACCACTAATTTTGTGGGCTTCCCGATTTGAAGACAAACCCATATGATATTGCAGGACTTCCTTTTTACATCGAATGAATTGTCAAGAAACTCCGCAGTGACAGGCTTTACCTTAGAAGGCCCACGCTTACCTATCTTTGCCTGTGAGTTTTGGTCTCAACCGGGGCCTCTTTCCCTGAGTCTCAAGCGAACCCCGTTTGCTCTGCGATTCCTAGCCTGCCGTGTCTCCGTTTGCTTCTGCAGCGTCATGCATGCATCAGGCAGTGCTCTATTCATCGAAAGCCGGTGGAAACATGGTTGCATATATTACTTTTACTGCCCTGACACCTGTCATGGAACCTTACAAAAGCAATCCCCCCCACCCACATAATTGCGTTTGCATGGTGAAAGACGAAGCACGTCCCTTAGGAAAGGGCAAGGGAGGGCTCTTGCGCACGCCATGTTTGTGTGTAGGCCCATGTTTGCTTTTTGCGAGAAGCGGCCGCTCACCGTTCACGGGCCCGACGGGCCCGACGGGCCCGACGGGCCCGACGGGCCCGACGGGCCGACGGGCCTGACGGGGCTGACGAGCCCAACATGCCTGACGGGCTTGACGAGTTTGACGGGCCCAACGGCTTCAGGGCTTGACGGGCCTCGCGTGTGTGACCGGCTCAACCTAACGGGAGAACGGGCTCGACGGACGCACTGGGCGGGCTTTAACGGAAAGATAGATCGTTGGCTAACTAGACAGATCGATAGAACGGTAGACAGATGGATCGATAGACGGGCGATTGATATTTTGACATTCTGAAAGAAATTTAAAAAGATGAGGAGACATAGAGGGATAGATAGACAGATAGATAGATAGATAGATGGATGCATAAATAGATAGATAGATCGAAAGATAGACAGATAGAGAGATAGAGAGATAAATAGATAGGTAGGTAAATGGATGGATGGGGTTAAAGTGCCTTGGAAAGATGGTAGATAGATAAATAGGTAGATGGACAGAGACAGATAGATGAAACTGAAGAAGACAAAAAAAGACAGAAATATACATGGGTAGGTAGATGAACAGATAGATGGATAGATAGGTAGGCAGACCGATACATACATGAGAGATACGCAAATCAATCGGTAGGAGAGATATGTAGATAGAAGGATAGCAAGATAGAGACAGAGGGAACCGAGAGATAGATCGAATAGATGCATGAGAACAGGTAGCTAGACTGGCAGATAGGCACATGGATTGGATTAGGTTGGATTAGGTCAGAGCAGATTGGATCAAGCAAATAGGTTGGGACATGCACAGATGCGTTGATGGACACTCGGATGGACACAAACGAATAGACAGGTAGATGAATAGATGCACAAAGGCCTGCGTGGATGAATAGGCGGGCAGATGGCTAGATAGAAAGATGAGTAGGCCAACAGGGCATGTAAGTGGAGCAGGCGCACACACGCGCACAACAGTATTGGCTTCTATCAAGTTTGAACCTGCTTGCCCATGTGCCTAGCATAGCCAGAGCGCCCGCTTGAAGCGTCTCTTCAAGCGCCTGTTTTCCAAAAAGCATCTCTGGTGCGATGGGTGCGGGATCTGTCAACGGGGCCGCGCTGGTGGGATGTGGACTCCGAGCGGAGATTTGGAGGGCATTGGCTTCTGGGATGGGGGCGTGAGCCTGATAATTCTTTTAGTAGGCTAGTTGGGAAAATCTTGCTCCGTGCCTGGCGTGGGTTGTCAGACAACGGCAGCCTCGTGTCAACCACTGCGTCAAATTAATGGCCTCCTCTTTTGTCGGCCTTGACAGTCCCGACGAACTTCACGGGCCTGACGGGCCCAACGGGCCCGACGGGCCCGAACAGTGAGGGGACATTGGCCCTTTTTGCAGGGTACTGGGTGTCAAATTCTATCTTGTTGGGCCTGGTAGGCCAATTCCCCACAACTTCCTTTGGCCCTGCCACTCGGCGCGCGAACGATACGCTCAGTCACATCCGGCGCTGGCAGGCCTTCGACCTCTTTGACACAGACCAGTCGGGGGAGATAGATCTCAAGGAGTTGAAGGCGCAAGCTCCGTGTATTTGACCAAGTCCTGGAAGCGTTGCTAGGAAGCCCAGGACCCCCCAAAAAAAAGGCAAACCCAATATTTTTGTTCCGTTCGACCTCCTTTGGGCTTGAAAAACTTTGGGTGGCCGTTTGACCTGTGCTTCTGGGTGGCCGTTACGGAGCTTCGCGTTTCTTCTCCCTCGTTTTTTTCGGGCCAACGAAGCCACTTGAGCCGACTGGAATTCGTTGACTGGAACTCTCTTTGGCTGTAGGAGGCCCCCCACTGTTTGCTTGGCGAGCTGTGAGAGGGAAGTGTGGGCCCTAAACTGCCGGTTAAACTGCTGCGGTGCGAGCAGGCCCGAGTGTGTTGCAAAGCGCAAAAAAATGGAGGTTCAATGGAGCAGGCTCTCCGTTCTTGCGTGTTGCAGAAGCCCTTTTTGGAATTCCACGTTGAGTTGCAGGAGAGCCGGATGTCTCTCTAGAAGGTTTGTGGGGGAAGCAAGTCTTCAGCAGCCAATGGCTTTTGACGAGAGATGCACAGCACATGTATAAAGATGACTAGACTAGATATGTCAAAGCTAGGGTCTCTTTCGGACAGGCTTGTTTCGAATAGGAAAACACCATGACACCAGTCTTTTGGAGGGGCCAGTTTCCGATTTGTCTACACATGAAGTTGAATGTGAATCCTCTGTCTGTCATGCAGCGCTAGTCGACCTGCTTTAGCCTCTTTCTCGCGCTTGGTTTGTAGTTGCTCAGTGGCCCCCCTTCTGCCTTTCTCTCCAGACTCCAGTTGGCTCCTCACTAAACCTTGGTTGCCTTTCAGTTGCCCATTCTGTCCCACGGCTGCCCAGGGTTGACCTTTCGTATTGGCTTGTAAGTGGGCATGTGGTGTTGGGGAACATAGAACCCCTGCTTTGGCGGGTTTGTTTTGACTCCAAACGGCTACTCGATACACGAAGCTGGAAAAAACCGCTTTGAATAGGTTGAAGGGAAGCCACCTCCGTTTCTGACTTTGACAGCCCGCTGGAACAATGAACCCAGATAAACAAAGTACAACACTTTGAGCTGTGCAGTCAGTTATTTGTATGTTGCTCACATATATAGTTGCAACCTGTGTTACGGTGTTCAACTGTCGCGCCATGATGTTCCAGACACCCTATTGCCTGTTTTTTTTGTGTGGAGAGCCTTAAGCCTGATCCAGCCGGCAGTGCATCTTTGCAGCTGAAGGACAATTCAGTCTGCAGCGAAGCCGCTAGCTCGTTCCACAAAATCACAATGGGCACAAGTAAGGCACTAGTTCAAATGCCTTGGGCCTCGGGGCCAATGATGCTTGTGTTGACAATTTTTCTCCAGCCTTAAGTTACAGATACGTTCTCAGGCAGAACAGGCGACGCCGGAGGTTTTGCGTGAGCAAACGTGGGACCTAGAGGGAGAGTTGGCGTGTCAGGTCTAAGACTAATCACATCTATCTGCCAGTGGCACAGTGGAGCTTGACAATGATTATCCTAAATCAACAACGCTTCGCATGACCGGCAAATCTATAGCCGATGATGCTGAGGATTCAGGTGGTCCCGCCCGAACACAAGCGAAACTGCATCAATTCCAGCATGCCAGTCCCTAGCATGGAAGTCTGCAGCAGCAAACACATGTCGTACAAAGAGGAACCCATGATGGTGATTGCAACCCTTGGGATGTACCATACCTGCACAAAAGATCACAAGCGTCAAAAGGGAATAAAAATCAGTTTCAGATTTGTTTCTCGGACAGTTGTAAAGATGTCCTGCTTTTTGGTTGTCACACAACTTGCGCAATCCTATTTGGCCTGTTCGTTGCTTCGGGCCAGGCTGCCATGCAGTCATTGGGCTACGAGAGCAAGAACGACACGCCGACGCCGGCATGCTTACAAGTGGATGCTTTGTCAAACAATCGATCGCTATACGCGGGCTTGTTATGCTAGTATGCTATGTCGCGTCCCCCTTTTTTGACCAGGGCACATCTCGCCAGGATCTTCACGATGCTCGCAGAACTTGACAAGGCTCGATTCGTCAGCTGGTTGGGTTGTGGAGGACCAAGTTAGTCAGCTAGTCCCCACTTGCCCAGTGGATGTTGCCTTTTGTTGGTACTTTGTGGGAAGGGTTTCCGTCAAAATGAGAGAACTGAGAAAGTCACATTAGCAACTAAGAAAGTTATTTGCAGTCTGTAGTTGTTAGTTTGTCGAGGACGAGACGAGAAGGGTCCGGGTGCCAAATTTCCCTTCAGTCATTTTCGAGTTCTATAGTTGACATGTCAAGACTGTCAATTTGGACAGGGTTGAATTCATTATATACCCAAAACAGATTGATGGCTGGATTGACCAACAGACCAGCAATAACTTTCCAACACATGCTTTTCAATGCAAACTGGGCCCATCAGAGTGCCATCAACCTGGCAAAAAATGAGTTTTGAGCCGGAGCTTCTTTCTCGTGGTTGCATCATTGTGGGATGGGGTTTTCTCTAGAACCAACAGATTTGTTGGGGGGATGTGGGCGCGTTTTCTCTAAAACCGGCCAAGCGCGTCCTGGCCAACGCCCGACACATGTGTGCATGTGTCAAAGAACTTGTCAAACGGCCTCCGCGGGTCATGTTGGCCCTCTTCTGACTTCTGACTTTAATCCTATTTCTAGACCTTATCTCTACTGAAGCTCATTTTAGTGGGGAAGCAAGCAAGTTCACAGCTGATATCCCCGGAGAAGTTCATTTCAGTGAGAAAGCAAGCAGTTGGGGTACCTGACATACTGTTTCTAGATCCTATCTCCAGAGAATTGCATTTCAGTGGGAAAAAAAACAGTTTACAGTTTGGGTACCAACCAAGCCCCGTCTTCTAAGCGACGCCATCCCGCGCGTTTTGCTGAAGAGGATGGCAACGCCTCCCTGGACTTCGAGGAGTTTCTGGATCTCATGTGCCTTCGCTCCGAGCGGGTTTTGGTTCCTGGGGGTCCCCACATGGGTTGGTTTTGGTCCCACATAGGTGTTGTGGGTTTGAACCCTTAACGCTTGCAGGCCAGCTAAAGCCGTGGCCAGTCAAAAAATATCCCATTACTTGTACTGGTAGGGTGAGTTTATTCCCGGTGGGGGGGGGTGATTATTCAAGGTGAAACAAGGGGAAACTGGGGGTGTCTGTGAGATCAATGGCCTTTTTGCTTGATTGATTTGAAGGGGAAGCTGGGGGAACAACAGTGGGAATCGTCGCTTTGTTTGTTGTACTGTTGACCCCGCCTGGCCTTTTTTTAGGATGTCTCTCTGAAAGCTAAGGGTTCTCTCGAAAGTGCACCCCCCCGTGCTGATCAACCACAGGATGCGTTAATCCTGGTGACCCATTGTACAGGTTTGCTAGGTGCCTGAAAGATGGGACTCCGTGAACCCCCTTGCCACTTAGCTCGGGCGTTTTGTTGGGTGGGCTCAAACAACACCATAGTGCGGCTTTGCGAGTCATGTTTCGTATGTTTGCAACCTTCCTTGCGTCTCTCTAGACCTGGGAGATGCGCCTTGCTAGCCGGAAGCAGCCGAGGTCTGGCAAGGAAGGCAAGGAGGAGAAGGACACGAAGGACCTGAATTCGAGTTCGCATGCACGGCATCTGTGTTGCTTGAGATCTACGGTACGGATTGGTTCACCGACCTGAGCTGTGACCATGTTCCCAACCGGAGTTCACCGAATCGGGATTGCTTGCCAGACCCAAGCAAGTGCTCTCCCAGCAAACCGTGAAGGTGTACAGTGTACAGACCTGCTTTTTAGGTCTAGAAAACGGTTTGGATGTGGCTTTTGTGGATCCACCCTGTAGGATATGAAAGTAGTACTAAGTGACAACAGCGCATCCAAACGATTTTCTAGATTTCATGGCTCTTGGAACAAGCAACATCAAATGTCCAGTGGCAGGTGGCACACCCAGTGTTGCATTTGTTTCTTGGTTTCAACCAGTCTCGCACAGCGTGTTGTGTTTGCCAGTTCCACGGCACTGCAAGTTGCTCCATTCCGATACGGATGCCTCCAAAGCAAGCAACTATCCACCCGCCTACAGTTTTGTTCCAGCCCTGATGGAGCTTCTGTCCGGTCGGCCGTTTTCGGCTGGCGCCAGTCGTTCAATGGCACCCAGTTATTTTATGGGTTTCGCGACAAACTCTCCGTACGGTCACTGGTTGCAGCTTGGTGACCCCCAACGCCGAATCATTTATTGACTCGCCAAGCAGCTACATGCACTGCTGGGTGTGCCTGAAAATCGGGCAGCGTAATTCTAAACATGATGCTCTTTTGGTTTCCCTCCAATCACCATCCAACCGGGGTTCGGTGAGCCGAAGCCGCTTGTTGATCCGGTGGAGGAAGGGCCAGGTGAGTGACTTTGGAGCAGGACTTCTTGCTGAGTAAGCAGCAAACGGTTCAACTTGTTGCACGGGGGTTTCAATTACTTGTTACGTTGTGTCCGTTGTGTTAGTCTGATTACTTTGAATCCAGGGTGAACGAGTCGCTGTCTCATATTCAGGAGGGTGTTGGTGGTTTCTGTCTACTGCAGCCCTGACAAGGAAGGGTGCACCTACATGCAAATGCCTCACATGGGGAGCCCACTTCGAAACTCCTGCTGGTCTTAAAAGCAAACTGCACGAACCACGCCAGAAACCATTTGGCGAGCTCCACGTTGTGGACGACGTTTCAATGCCTGTCCCTATGAGGTTGCGATAACACATACTGTAGTCGTTTGTGCTTGGAGTTCTTTTAAGGAAACCACCACACAATGGTACGACATGTACCTTTACCACTAGTAACCTGGACCCGCCTAGCCACATTCCATGAGTCCCTTGACTGAAGCTTCATGATTGCTTCGTGCGTCGAAACCAACGTCACCTCCCATGCAAAGAGATCGACGCCTGAAGTCCACCAGTTTGGCCAGGAGGAGATCGACAAGATCTTCAGACTCTTCGACACGGAGGGCAAGGGCTACATCGTTGTGAGCTCAGCGATGGGTCTTCCGCGCGCTACGGAAGGGAAGTCCTTCTAGTCTGGGGTCCAGCGCAAAATAGATGTTCCACATCCGCACCGTAGCCCTTTTTGAAAAGTCAAGATGGGAGGTTGTTTTGGTTGCAACATGTTGTCAAGGGGTTGACCCAACCCCGATCTTGGTCTCGATACAGGGGCTCAGACCCACCAGTGCATCGACAATGTGGATTTGGACAGTTCCCCCTTCCCCGTACCAAGAGTGTCCGCTCTGCCGATTGGCATTGTATTGGTGTCCAAAACTCCATCATCCGCCGAAAAGTGGCCGGGGGACCTGGGGGGAGGGGGAAGCAAACGAACGTGTTTGGCTGGAACAAGGTCGAAGTTGAATGAGCGTTTAAGTGTGTGTTTGTGTGTGTGTGTTTTGGGTGACATTGAATTGCCCTTCCTTTGTAAAGCTGATCCCGGCTTGTCAACAAGATTTTCATCTCCAAAGGTACCGATACATTATAGGCCCTCAGGATGACTTTCAGGAATGGTTGTGAAATGATGTTCTAAAGGTGATGCTGTTGGACAACCTTGCACCAGACCTGGCAGGACCGTGCAGTGCTTCAGCAAGTCGTGTTGGAAGCGGCTCAAGGAGCTGTTGGATTCAATCTCCGACTAAGGATTCAGGAGGGGACGTGCTGATTCAAGCTCTCTTGTAGGTTCCTTTCCCAGGCCCCACACCCTCACCACGTTCAATACAACACACACACACACACCCACCCACCCACCCACCCACGCACGCACGCACACACGCACGCACGCACGCACGCACGCACGCACGCACGCACGCACGCACCCACGCAACAGGGTTCCCAGCATTTCCCTTTTGGTGGTTGCATTAGCCTATCGGGCCAATTTGAATTGAGTTCCTTTTGGCGGGGTGATGTTGAAATATAGGGAGCTCGGCACATGAGCTGCGCTGAGGAAGTGAAGGACGTGCAGAAGGCGGGTTCCTTGGTTCGGTCGCTAGGTTTTGTAGCTGGGGGACCGTGAGGGATGCGATGGTCGGGGAACCACATTCCAGAGGATCCCAAACAAGTCTGCTTGAGCGTGTAGAGGTAATTTAAGAGCTGAGGCATCTGAAAAACATCCGGAAGCAGTTGCTTCCGCAAATCGATTTCCTGAATCTCCACCTGGGCAGTGGGTTTGTTTTCAGAAGCTTTCATTTAGAGGTTGCCCCTTAGGAGGAGTCCCACCGATGGGTGCAGCCAGGTGTGCAAGGAGTTGGGCGAGCGCCTCACCAACGAGGCGAACGGCGACCGGGTGGAATGCACCAGAGACATCGGGGTTTTCGTGTTGGGGGGGGGGGAACCCGCCAGTTTTGGGGAAACCCATCTGTTTGGTGGTCCGGCTGTAAGAGACAATCAACTGGGTGGAGGGGGTGTTTTTGGAGTTGGTAACCGTTTTGGGCTTGGTTCAAGCCAGGAGCTCATCACTGGTACACCGATTGTTATGTGTTTCAAGTCGTGGGGCCAGAAGGTTGCGCACCCAGCTTACACCAGGAAGGCCATTCGATGTGCGAATTGCCAGAGGCTTTTTTCATCTTCTTAGCGAAGAGGTTCCCCCTGATCTTCTTTTCACTACTTGTTGCTTTGTGGTTCGACATATGTGGTTTACTTTCAGTATTTATGGCATCCACCATAGGTCAAGACTTGAACGATCTTGCAGAACGCGCCCCGCTTAAGCTCCTAAGGCTACCTGTTTTTCAACTTGGTTGGTTGGCTGGCTTGTCATGAGCAAGTGAGCAGAAACGAACGATTCTGCAACCGAGGAGTGAATAGTGGCGACTTCACAGCCAACTTGACCAATGGAGCAACCTACAGCATTTGACAACAGGCTGCTCAGGGACCCTTATAGTTGTAGTCGACTACCAGATGCAACAATTCACCCAACCCCAATTGTCGGTCAACTATGGTTCTGATTGTTGTGCATATAAGCAGCACCATTTGGGACCATGTTAAAATCGGGGTTTAAGGGAGGAATGTAGTGAGCCCCCGATTTCAAGGGTGTTTTACTGGATCCCCTAAGATGCACATGCACGTTGAGGTCTTCTCAAAACGACTTTTTGCGCGGTTTCGCTTTTGAGCCGCCATTTGGCACGTAATTTTGTAGATGTCCCAGGCACCTCGCTTCGTCTCGGCATCTCTTCGCTCTCGGATTCGTCGCAGGAGATCACCGAGATCGTGCGGCGCGCTTGTCAGGATGAGCCCGGCGCCCCGAAGCTCACAATTGGCGGTGGCTGAGCCCAGATCTAGCCGTGCAGGTTTGAGTTGGCTGTTTTGGTTGGTTGGGTCTCAAGGAAACGCATCAGCTTGGGGTGCTCCCACCCAAAGTGGTGGGGGGGTTGAGTCAGTACCCATTTTTGAGGGTTGGTTGTAAGAGAAGCTACAAAAAGACACCCATGTTTGGCGGCTGCCCCAACTTCGACAGATCCCGTCACCCACCACAATACCCAAAAAAGTGGTCCTTACACAGAGATTTCTTTACACTTGACAGTTTTTGGCGGTTCCACATGTCAATCTGTAGGGGAGTAGGGTTCTCGTCCCCTTTTGGGTATCCTTTTGTGAAAATTGGTTATGAAGCACCCACTGGGAAGCAGCTGTAGGGAGCCCTTTTTGGACCCCGTGCCCTTAAGCCTTACCAGAAAGAACCCGAGTGAATATGTCGAATCCTGAGGAAGGCACCATGGCCAAAGCATCGGCTTGCGAACAGCGAGTTGAACTTGGGTCTGCTTCAAACTGATCTTTTTTGGGTTGACTAAACATCAAGCATGCTCTGAACACCTGTTGTTGTTCTTTTTTTCCGTGTACCTCAGACGTGGGCCATGTTATGGATGCAGGCCATGTGCGTACCTTTGTGCTCGAAAGCTTCGGCACCCTCGTCCAAGGTCCAAGGGCGAAATAACGCAGGAGGACCTGCAAGGGGCAGGGAGCGCAAGACGTGTGATGTGGGACCATGCCAATTGCCAGACATTGAGACTGTAAATCGGGGTCTCTATTTTGGGTTGGACCAACGGTTGGTGAATATGTTTGATTTCCCCAGATGATACATGCTTGGGATCCCCTCTCCAAACTAAGATGGCACCCCACCACGGTATTCGCAAGATCAGATGTGGCAAGGGACTTGAGGTTCCATGTCGGTTTTCGGGGGCTTAACTGAAGGTGGCAGGTTGTTGGTACCTTTGGTAGTCATTGGATTTTTGCATCAGACCTTCAAGTTGTGTCAGTTTGCTGTCGCCTCTTGTTTTACATTCAAATGACATTGCAACATGTCACAGATCTTGATCTGTTTGGCAAAGCCTTGGTCGATTCGCATTGCAGCACGACAGCTAGGATTTCTTGTTTTTGGGTCGCCCGGCGAAAAGGAACGTCTTCTTGTTGCAATTTCTGCCAAAGGGAGTGGGTGGGTGGGGGTGGGGTGGGGTGGGGTGGGGTGGGGTGGGGTGGGGTGGGGTGGGGTGGGGTGGGGTGGGGTGGGGTGGGGTGGGGTGGGGTGGGGTGGGGTGGGGTGGGGTGGGGTGGGGTGGGGTGGGGTGGGGTGGGGTGGGGTGGGGTGGGGTGGGGTGGGGTGGGGTGGGGTGGGGTGGGGTGGGGTGGGGTGGGGTGGGGTGGGTGGGTGGGTCGCGGGGGGGGGGAAAGAGAGAGAGAGAGAGAGAGAGAGAGACATATACACTTGTGGTTGCACCTCCGTTTGCTTTGTACCGGCAGGATTTCTACATTGTTATGACGAAGAAGACCTTCCCATAAGCGGCCAAGGTCTCTTAGCTAGGACATGCCTGCTAGTGCTTGGTCCGCCGGCTGCTTGGGGGCTGCTGAAGGTTTGATGTGCCAGAGCTGTTTCACCTTAAGCACACTATAAGAGCAATGATGAGATGATGTTCAAAGTGGTTCTCCAAAGTCAACCCCAACCAGATAGTGCTGTTTCTACTTATCCACATTCTGCAATGTTCATTGGGTTGCCAGAACCAGGGACATCCTTTGGCTTTCAAAGGGGAAGCAGCATGGCACCAAACAACTCAGGGCGAAGGGCTGGCTTTGACACATTCCTGCACGGAACATTGGCACAGAGTTGCCTCAGGCTGGTCCCAGGCAGCTTGGGCGACCAGTTTCACCACGACTGCACCAAACGCCAGTGCGGACGTGTGGGGATAGATCCAAAAAGTCGGAGCCACTCGGTGGCGCTTTGATTGCGATTGTTTCGCAATATTCTGTCACTATTGACTTGTGTTGATTTGACTTAGGGGCCCTTCTTGGGGTGAGCTTCTCACGGAAGCCCTTTAGAGACACCACCTCTTTTTGAACCCCCCCACTCTTGACACAAACCCAGTCCTGTTGCCCTCCCTTTGGGCTCGGCCATGCCATCTAAAGCGAGTTTCTCTTGTGGATGTGGAAAAATTGACATGGGATAACCCATATATATCAATATAGTAACTTATATAGGGAACCCAGCTGAAAGGCTGATAGGAGCAATGGACAATGCCCTATGGGTTGGTATTTGGTGGTCAGACGTCATGCCCAAAACCCAGATTCATGCCGTGGTGTCCCGGCAAAGGCGGCCCACCGCTGGTCAAACCGTTTCTTGAGGCGAGCATGTTTGAACATAGATGGTTTTCAGTGGTTTCACACCGTGCTGCTAAGTTTACCACTGCCATCTATTTGTTCAAGAGGACACCTACCACAGAATCATCCTGTGCGTGCAGTTTGCCAGCAGCGCTCAATAGTTCATTCAATAAATCCGTCAACATGCACACGGGCAGGGCTCTGATTCTGGGTAGTGTAGATGCAAAATCAGCATGAGCTTGGGGAGATGCGGGTGTGGTGTGTGTGTGTGTGTGTGTGTGGAAGCTTGTTGCTGGCCAAGCGCATTCACTTAGAGGCTTGCAAGATAGGGACAAAGCTAGACAAATCATAGCATTAGATACTGCGTGGACATGCAGCCTGTTCTCAGAGCGAGTATTTCTGTCCAAGGTCTTTTCTGAAGGCCTGGGATGTCAAACGTGACACAAAGCTTGCATGTCCTTGGGAGAACCGTGGCAAGACCTGTTATTCCAATCTTGCAATCAGGCAGGTTTACTGATGTTTACTGGGGGTTTGCCGAGGTCTCCAGTGCGTTGTCGGCAGGACGTGCTTATGATTTGTGTTTTTTCATTTTCCAAACCGACAGGATAATGTTACCATTTTGAGCCTGGAGGCCGATTGAAGATGGCTGCTTTAGAGCACAGTACTTTGCAGATGCGATCAATGACCGCGCCGCCGTTTCAGTTTTGCTGGCTAATTTGCAGGGCGGGGCTGTGGCTGAAATGGCTGGGACATCCTGGGAACCATGACAGACAGCAGCGCACAAGCTTCGCATCCAAACAACTGGCAACAGGAGGCCATTCGAGCGGAGTTCCTGCGCCGAGGGAAAGCCGCGGTGTGCAGTGAATTCCTTGCTCGATCACATGCTGGCTGGCCAGATGCAGGGAGTGAGGGAATGGATGGTAGTCTTGAACACCGCAGGCTGCAAATATGTAGAGATGCACTCCCTCAAGATGGCATGATTTCCTCGCTCCCTGCCAGGCCAGCCCTCAAGATTTGCAAACATGTACTGCTGGTACATGATTACATGATCCTCACATTTTTTGAGCTTGCTTTGTTTGCTCAGCCATCCCAGCCACTAATGCCGTATACTGTGACATGGGGCTTGACTGTCCTGACCGGGGACGCACCCGGTCAAACCGTTAAGACCATAGCAGAGCGCATCCAGCGACTGGGCTTGGAAGGGCGGCATCAAGTGGAGGGAATCCAGCCTGGTGCATCAGACTCGGAATAGTTACTGAATAGATAATCGCAACCATCTTTTGAGAGGAGAACATATTCACCGAAGAATCCTTGTCAGGTGTTTTTGCATTCTAATTGGAATGATCGTACTGCTTGTAACACTGAACACCGGAACCACTATTCCAGGCCCCGCCTTCCCCACCAAAAAAGTATTGTCAATGCATCGGACAGGTCACTTCATGTGCGCCCTGGAAAAGCGCCCCAAGAGTGTGCTCCTTGTTTTGGCATACTGCCAAAACTGGCATACATGAAGAAACACTCGCATTTGTTTGCTGTCGTCTATGTTGCAAGGACCTGTGATGCGTGTCCCTCTTTTAGAGCGGGGTTGGGGCGGAAAAGCCATCATTAATTCGTGTTGATCGCTTTGGTCATGGGGTGAGTCTCCTCCCTTTGGCCTCGAACTGCCCTGTACCTCGAACTGCCAGCAGTGAACTGTCTGAAGACTTTCCTAGACGGTATTCAGGCCAATGTCTTAATAGCAGCATTTGTTGTGGGACAGAGGGTTCTACTCCAGCTACCTGTAATTGACACTCAGACAGGCATATGACGCCCAACAGCATGCTTGACGCACAGCAAGACATGTGGGTGAAATGGGTATTCTCTGAGTCTGTACCAATTCGGAATTCGGCATTTTCCCAAGAGACCACATGGAGGCGCATATGGCTGCTGTGCAGACTCCCCCATTTACTACCCAGCAGAGAACAATCCAAGGTAGGAAATGCGTTGGCCTAAAGAGGGTAGTGGTTCTCACACTCATAATTTCCGGTTTGCCAGTGTGTCTTCATCATTTGCATCCTGTGGACAGATTGAACATCATTTCCGCTTGTATCTTTTTAGGGCGGCCAAAGCCTCGTGCTTGGCTTCCCAATACCGCACAATGCAACTTTTCAAATTGTGTTTACCACCGGACTTTGGCTCGGAGACTTCACTTAATTGGAGATGTGCAGATGCTTCGAAACCTTTGTGCAAGTTGCCTTGGGCTGTAATCACCGGGCGCGGGGTCAACCATGCTGCGCTTTTTGCTTGGACGTTTCCTTCAAGTTGGAGCCCTGGCATGGGAATCCATGGGGACGAGCAGGGGCATGGCGTTTGAGTGATTGTGTTGCAATATAACGCACAACTCAAGGAAACCTCCAGTGGATGGGCTCTGCTTTCGGCCCGGACGCCTTACTTAACAGCAGTTGACGTTCAAATCGCTGCGTAAGTTTGCCCATGATTTGCGGGATTTCTCGAGGTTGGTACCTCTTTGCTTGAGAAGTGACAAGCAGCCGAAGAGTTTCAGCCTTTCCGGCAATTGGCCAGGAAAACACACCACTGTCACTAAGCCAGCAACCATTGCCATTGAGACCACCAAACTTGAGCAAATCTTTCGAGTTTCTACCATGGATGGAGCAAACATATTGCCAATGGAACGCCAATCCCAATAATATGGAGAAGTCTTGGCTGCTATGCGCAACGACATTCCATTGGCACCAGCCATCAAGAGGCGTTCAGAACGCCCCCTCACGGTCTCCGAGGCGCGAGTGGGGCATCAAGGTCGGGTGGCAGGTGTTGACCTGGCCAGGGGGCGAGAAGGCGCTGCACTCGCAGCTCCTGGGCGCCTGGAGTCAACGAGTTGCGGGAAGGGCGGGAAGCAACGGGCGAAAAGGCGAAAAGCTAAAAAAGCCATGGGCGAGGGCGGCTTCTACATTTATGATGGGCATGGGCGAGCATGTGAGATATCAAAGATACTCCTGCAGCCTGGGGGTTGACCTATAAGGAAGGGTCAATATGATTAAACCTTTCTTGATGGTTGGCTTCCTCGCTCCCACAGTGACCCTTGCTTTTGTTGCACGGCCACTTACACAAGCGCGTCTTTCTGTGGATTGTCCAGCAGCTAGTGGTTTTGTTGGATACCTCCAATTCATGCATTTCTTGGGTTGCGTGCCTGTCCTGACGGGACCTGTTGAGCTACAACAACCTTTTTGATGCTAGTCACTTGGCAAGGGCGCGAAATACCTGCTTGGTTGAACGGGACAGGGGTGCCTCCGGCATTGGAATTGGTTGGTGCGTTGGCGTCGTTTGCATTGCTAAGTGCCAGGCTAGGCATGGGCAAGGAAAGATGTGTTACATTCGCGGCACATCTTGCCCACGCTTATGTGCAAGTGTCGAAAGCAAGCTTGGTTACGCCGGTTAGGCGGTTTCATGAGCACATGCGATGAAGTCGAAGAGAGACACAAGGGGCTCTGCTCTGTTTGGTGGAGTCACCCGACACCGTGACCCTTGTGATTCTGATGCCCTTGTCCTTCAAATGGCTTTCCATCGAAGCTTGTCATGCACATGTAGCTTTACACATTATAAACGGGTGCCAGCCTGCACCGAAGGACAATCATGCGTGGAGCATCCTAAGATACGGTTGGAACCCATATAGGGTCACCCAAATTATGCAGTTTGGTTCACAATCTGGATGGCTATCTTTTAAATTCCTTGGCTCTGCCAAGACTGAGGCGAAGATTCTCATTTCGCCCTTGCCGTCGACCGAGATGCTTTCGCGGAGTTCGCCGATAATTTGGCCTCCGACCTCTCCGACCAGGCCGAAGTCTGGTTGATTGGAGATCTTTGGTCATGCATACCAAACATCTTTGATGGTGGGCCCTTGCTTTTGTTGCTGACATTTCATGTTGGGTTGTTGCAGCCAGGTGAAGCTGTGGTACCTTGGTGTCGCCCTCCAGCCACTTAGGGTCACCCATGTTTTGTTTTCGTGTTCGGCGGATTGTAGCTGAAACTGATTGAGTTTCGTGTTATCTGGCTCAACGACAGCTTCTAAGCAGCGAGACGGCTGCAGACACCATTTTGTTTATGCCCTCTCAACCACTTCGTCGCAGCTTGTGTGACATGCGTAGTTTGAGAAGCTGAACATAAGATCCTGCATTCCGAAGCAGTTTCCT